AGAAGAAGAAGAAGAAGAAGAAGAAGAAGAAGAAGAAGAAGAAGAAGGAGGAGGAGGAGGAGGAGTCCCTTTCCAGCTCTGCAACCCCACTGCAGACTCGTGTCCAGGCTGTCATCATGAAGTTCAGGAGACCTTGGCATAGCTTACTACCATTGAGTTTCTGCCTCAAGCAAACCTGTCCATTCACGCAGACTGGCCTTTCCCAAACCACAGAGCTGATCATATCCTTCCCCTATAAATTCTCCCTGACACAACACCTGTGCAAAGGCCTTTCCGGTCTGACCCCTTTGCTCCCAGTTACAGCTCACTCCATCCTTCCTACTGCACTCACTGCTCCAACCAACACATGCCATCTCAAACTCAGAATTGTCTCTATGAATGTTTTTGCATATTATTTTCCTCAACTTGTGTTTAATTTTTCTGGCCAAAGTGGAGCAAGACAACAAAACTATAGTATGCTTTATAGCTGATATCATGACAGAAACAATGTCAACGTTGACAGTTCTTAGCTTGGTCAATGATTGGTCAATGATTCAATAATTCCTAAATACCCCCTTATTTGAAGTCTAAATTGCCCATCATACTGGGAGACAGAATTGGTCTTCCTTCTGTTCTGATACCACCCCGCCTTATACGTGCCCATATTATAAAACCTATTGTCCTATAAGCATGTGTGTCTTAATCCTCCAAACACATATATAGGCATTACTCATGCCTCTTCATCTTCATATACTACCATCTTCCCCACTGCCTATCCCAACATCACCACAGACCACCTAAATAATGAATACCACCATATTTCAGAGTATTTGTGAATCTTATCCCCAAAGAGCTTATGTCTGCTCCAAGCATTTTCTCTGGATCAGCTCACAGAATGATAGTGGATGGCCAGCTCAATCTTAAAGTATTATTGACACAAAGTGGCAGAGTTAGACCATCTTCAGTTGCCTCAAACCCTGACATTTTCTTCTAAACCTTACAATTCCATTTTCTTCTCATCCAGACAGGTGCTGTCTGAAATGAATAGGTCTTGTAGCCTATAACCTTCTTTTTTCTATGAACTTCTCTGATTTGAGAGATAATCCTTACTTGTCAATGTTATTGAAAATATGGAAAGATTTACTTCAGTGGCCACATGAATGTGTTCACAACCTATTGCATAATGAAACATTTACAAATTATCCTTCCTCTTTCCTAAATACACATCTTACAGAAGATTTGTATCTTTCACTTAATGAGTAGTGTGTGAACTGGCTAAAGAAAATGCTTCTTACACATAGCAGATAGTGCACTTGTGCATGTAATCGATCCAAGCCACAGCAATGTTGAATGTTCATTTTATCCAAAATTAATTTCTTGTTAATAACTGTCATTTACTAGATTCTTTCACTGAATATTGCAGTAGTAATGAGGTTTTTTCTAAGCCATTATTTACAAAGTTATAAAGTTTTTGTTTTGTGTTTTTTATTAATTTGCTTATTTTACTGTAAGGGTGATACTCTTTACATGCCAATGAGCAAAGAAACATAGAACCACAGGACTGAGGTGCTATGCAGGGCAGGTAGAGCTCCTTCACTTATGAGAAGCTGATTTCTCACATCACCAGTCGAGAAAGCTTGAAGCACTCTTAGTAATGTTTCTCACATGGAGATTAAAACTGACATGCACCTGCTGAGCATGTTAGGTTGGTAGGTTGGTCATCAACAATTAGGACAGCAAATAGAATGGGACAATTCCAAGAAGGAACCAGCAATTTAGGACCAAGTGATGAAAAAAAAAAAAAAGCTGTAGAAGGCCTTGCCTGGTAGGCTGGGGTATCTCAGTTGAACACAAAAGGCTGTAAGGCTCCAGAGCTGAGGTGTAATATGAATTCCAGTGCTTCAGAAAGATGCTGTGATCATTGTAGAAATGAAATGGGAGCCAAAGGGCTAGGATAGCATCTTCTCTTTAAAAGAATAACCAACTTTTTACACAAAATACTTAATGAAGTACAAATGGGCATATTTGTGTAAAAATGTTAGTAGCCTCTTGAAGGTTCTTCAAAAGGAAAGTTGCAGCATTCACGCTGTGCTTAGACAAATGTCCTAGTTTCTTCCTTCAGCCTCCACATAAGTGCATCAGTCATGACCTCCCAACTTACTTACCAACATGGACTAGTTTCTAAGTCAAAACAGGGACTCATTTAAAATACCTTTATTCTCAGGGCGCCTGGGTGGCTCAGTCAGTTAAGCATCTGTCTCTAGCTCTGGTCATGATCCCAGGGTCCAGGGATCGAGCCCCACATCAGGCTCCCTGCTCGGGGAGGAGCCTGCATTTCCCTCACCACCACCACCCCCCACTCTGCTTGCTCACTCTCTGTGCTCTCTTTCTCTCTCTCTCTCAAATAAATAAAATCTTTAGAATAACCTTATACTCATTTACTTGTTATAAATAAAAGAGCACCTCAATCGTCAATGATCATATTTGTGAGCTAATTTTTCCAAAATTTGGTTCTTATCTAGGTTCATTAAAGTTCCTAGTTGCAATGTGTTCACTGGCTTCAGAAGGTCTTGGATGGCTGAGTTGTTGATATAAGAAGCTTCTCTTGGATCTATGCAATTTTTGTAATTATTGATTAATTAGATTTGAATGTGAAAGTTGAACAAACTGTTTTGTTTTTACTTTTCTCCAATTTAGAATTTTTGTGGCAGAGATGAAGGGATAAAAATGTGCATAAATATTCAAATGTGCTCAGATGAATGATCTGTTGAAAGCAACAATTGACTTCACTTAGAAATGTTCAAATGTGTTTTGCGTAAAGGTTGACAGTAGTTTTCAAGAAGATGAAGAATTACTTTAGTTAAAACAAACAAAAATGCAAAAATAATCTATCAACACCATAAGCTATTGTTGTTCTTTCTTGCAACTTACAGATAAAGCAAATTTTCAAGTCCTTCGAAAGCATTTCTGGAAATGTGTCTGATTTGGTTGTTGTTCAGGAGACTGGAAAAACAGAAACAAACACAAATTCCAGAATGAGAAACAGATTCTGCAAATATTACAATAATTCTACTAGAAATAGTGATTACAGAGTTGAAAAACATTTACAGATATGTTCACTAAATTTACAAATTTAAAATTTTCTATTTAACAAGGCTATATTAAAATGTTAGTTTGTCACAAAAGACTTCAAAAATAATTTATATTTATTAAATTACCCTAAAATACCCCTTAAAGAGGACTATAAACCCTAGGATAAAATTCCTGTTTTCCTGAAGCCTACCATTTAAAAGGAAAATTATCAGCATAGTCACAGTGACAAAGGAATATATTTCTAAATAAACAGATGGAGAGTTATATACACTCAGGCTTAAGCATTTTCCTTGGAAAAATAAATATCACTGCTCTTGGCAAACAGTGGACTCTCATTGTGTATTTGTTGAACTGTCAAACTGAGAGTCAATTACACCATAGGAAGTGAGGCTCTTATTATAGTACTCTCAAATGGTCCAAAACTGACTTCTAAAAATTCCAGGGAGAAAAATAACAGGTGGCAAAAATAAATTGAATTTGAACACTAAAACAAGTTACAGAAAAATCACCTCTCAACAACTTTGAACATTTTAGAAAAAGCATTCTGGCAAATAAAAATTATAGATTTTTTTCCCTAGTAAATACACTTTCAATTTCTTTCAAATTTAAGTTATTATGGCACGTCTAAATGTACAGGGAATGTCTACTAATTGAACTGGCACACATTTTTCTGAATATCCTATACCATTTAAAAACTCCAAAGCTTCTAAAATCCACTGCCAGAGTAAAATGCTAGAGGATTCACTTTTAGTATATTATAAAATATTTGTTTTGTGCCTTTTTTTTTGTATGACTTATTAGGGAAACAGAAGTGTTTCGGCCAGTGGAGCAGGTGATTATTTTACTCATTATACACACAGAGACAGCCCAAAGATCCCAAATTCAACTGCCTCTAACCTATTCAGACATGCCTCACCTCTAAATGTTCAGTCACACAATTAATTCCCCAAATAGCATTTGAAGGCACTACCCACCACCCCACTTATGGTACCAAAGCCACTCCTTGCCATTTATGCCTAGTGTTCTGGCCATCAGGGAGGCAGAACAATCAATCTACAGTATGCATTAGAGCTGAGGCCAAACAGAGATAATGTCCATTTTTATGGATAATTCTTAGCTTCAGTCAATGATCCCATCAACTTTAGTCTACCATGTGTTCAAGAAATTGTTTAAGCTAACTAAAAGCAACACACTTAGTTAATATCTAGTTAATACCAGTCACAAATATTGTCCTGAGAAAATTTGTTACTCTCTTTGTACATTCTTAATCAAATATTCAAAATCCAATACAACACTTGCTTTAGATCCCCAAACTACCACTATACATCTATTGTTACTTGAAGAATGACTATTCTACCCCACATTTTATTAAATACATGCACCACCACATGTAAAAAAGTATATGTATGTATGCACACATGCATATATACATATATTTATATGCATATGTGTGCACATAGATATAATGCACATGTGTACACATAGATGCGTATTTGAATGTGTATACATGTACATGTGTGTATGCATACATGTGTATATACATATACTACATGCGTGTGTGATTTGTGCATCTTCTATGTGATATGTTTGTATGTGTGTTACATGATATGTATATACAGTCTCAATCTCATCTGAACCATAGAATATAGGAAACTGTTTGACTATTTTCTTAATTGTCTGAAGGATGGTGCCTAGGAAAGGAGTTGATCCATTTAACACAAAGGGATGCCTTTGGTCATTAGTGTTCATTCTCTTTCAATACAAGAACTGAAAAAGGAAAAGATACTATTCATCATAATTCATCTTTCTTTGGTATATAAAATGTGCTCAATTCCTATGTTTCTGCATATTCTTACATAGTTATCTAAATTTTGGTGAAAATAAAAAACATTAGACTTCTAAAATTGCACTGAAATTGTTTGCATTTCTTGAACATTGTAATTCAATATGAATGTTAATAATCTAACGTATGAGATCAAGCAATTTAACTCATAGGTTTTCTTGGAAATGTTTTTATTGTTGACAAGAAACAAACCCATTACAGTGGTTCACAGTTGAATGTGTTTTCCAATCACAAGTACATATACCTTGTTTAGGTTTATTCAAAACATTGTTTTCCATCAAAATTTCTTTGTTATAATTTTAATGGATGGAATATTTTCCTAACAAGGTTTAGGTTAAGTGATTATAAAGACTGTCATATATATTACTTTTTGTTTTATTTTTCATAAAGGAGATGTATTCAAAATTTATGAGTGATTCTACTGACAATCAGGGCATAAAGCAATATCTAACATCCTTTCACAAAAAATCAATGCAAGCTTGAGGAATTTGTGTGGTTATATTCTATATCTTAATATTGCCTATGATGCCAAGGAGGGGAAAAAAAGAAGCAAACAAAGCTCCCTTGAAAAATGTTATACTTTTATTGTGGAAATAAAATAACTCCTGAAAACAGGAGATCTGTGATCCTGATGATCAAAACCTTGGGGAAGAAAAACCAGCAATAGATCAACGGGCTTGTGTTAATTGAATCTTTCATTGCTGAAACAGTATCTTACACACAGGATGCACACACATACTTGTACATTTGATATACCTACAAATGTGTACTGTGCGGGTGGAAATATTTTGTTAAAAAGCAATTGGCGGCCATTAGGAAAGATAAAAGCTTTTTGCCTGGTTATGTATTCATCAAAGTGGAAAGAAGCAAAATAGAGCTTTCTCCTGTGTCAAAATTTCCATTCAAGACAATGCCAAGAGTTACTCTGAAAGTGAATTATTATATCTACATTTAAATGCAAATAAGATAGTTTGGGGTGTTTTGTAAGTGGTAATAATGTTAATCTGCTCCTGCTTTATAATTATGTTTATTTTTCATTTGGACACTCTCCAGAAATGTGGTTCTGCTACCCTTAACATGGCAGGATTGTGTACTTCATTTCCATGCTTACTAAAGTAAGTAGTCTAGGGGCGCCTGGGTGGCTCAGTCGTTAAGCATCTGCCTTCAGCTCAGATCATGGTCCCAGGGTCCTGGGATCAAGCCCCACATCGGGCTCTCTGCTCAGCGGGAAGCCTGCTTCTCTCTCTCCCACTCCCCCTGCTTGTGTTTCCTCTCTCGCTGTGTCTCTGTCAAATAAATGAAATCGTTAAAAATAATAATAATAATAAAAATAAAGTAAGTAGTCTAAAACTTTCAATAACCATAAACTGTGATTCCTGAGTTATCTGTATAGTTACCAAGTAAGAGATTCTTGGCCAAAGTCAGTAATGACTATTTTTTGAAAATTTGCCACCACTAATATCACTAAAAATATTTACATAATAATGTAAATTATTAAGCACCACATAAATCATTTGCAGTTCAAAACAGTGGAAAACAAACAAACAAAAATAAATAAATAAATAAATAAGGCAAGGTGTGGGAGAGGAAAGGAAGAAAAAATCAGGCAGATTTAAAGAACACAGTTCTTCATTTGCATGTATCAACTCTTCATGCATATTTCTCAAAGGAAAAAGCAGATTTACATGTGAAATCTCTCTGTGAGTGACAAATTCTTTCACAGATCCAATAGATAAACTGCCCTCTCTATCTTTTGAAATTTTAAGACTTCAAAATTTAAATGTTCTGAAGTAAAAGAAAGATACAGCTATTTGAAAATTTATAGTGATGGTCATTTGTTTCTTTTTCTGTAAATTAACTAAATAGGGACACCTGGGTGGCTCAGTATGTTAAGAGTTTGCCTTAGGCTCAGGTAAAAAAAAAAATTAACTAAATAAATTCTTTCTTTGTATTTCCACTTGGTTCTTTGTCTTTATTAATTTGTTAAGAACTTTTGTATGTAAAAAAATAAATTTTTGCTTGTAACATGTTAGAAATAGTATTTCAAAGTATAGTTTGTACTTTCAGCTCTCTTTATTATTTGTATCACACAGATGTTTTAAATCTTTATCTAATGAAATTTGTTAGTCATTTCTTTCATAGCTTTGAGATTTTGTATCCTGCTTAGGCTTGTCTGAATCTAAAATTACATTAAAAGCTTATTTTTCCTTAAGCTATTGTGGTTTTACTTTAATGCTTAAATATTTGACTTATCTGGAATTAATTTTTTATTTTTTCCAAATTACTTATGTACTGTCATTATTATTGGCTGACATAGTCATATTTCCTCTATGATTTGCAATGTATAGTCATATACATATCTCTGACATGCACTGGGTCTATTTCTAGACAAATTACAATGGAAATATTTCAAATATTCTTGTTTTCTGTTTTATTTTCTGTATAGGGTAGTTTCTATCTCTCTTCTTTTTCACTATTTTAGTGGTTATTTCCACAGCCACAACCCCAGCCCTCCACCCCACCCCCCACCCCCATGTATTTTAGGACAATTCTTCAAATTCAATGTGCTCACTTCAGCAGCATGCATACAAATTAAAAAAAAAAATCCTTTGGATACTTTAATTAACATTTAAATTTTACCACTGTGACTTTATCTAAGAATGTGATTTGTCTTTCCACTTATCTAAACTGTCTATCTAAAAGAAGTATTCTCCTTTCAGTTGAATGTGGGGTTTTCATTATACAATCTTATGTTGACCATGATACTTTTGTCTTCTTTCCATAATGATAACTCATCTCTGTCTGACCTAATGTCATGGAAACTCTTTAAGACGTACTTTATATAATGGTGACAATGTTTTAGTCTTTTACCCTAAAGAATTATGATCGTTTTAGACTAGAAGTTTTAGAAGGGAGAAAAAAAGAATGCACCAGTCAAGTGTAAACAAAGAAACAGGACAAAATACTGCCATTGTGCTCATACTTTGTCTTACCACAAAAAATTGTTATTACAAGCAGTAACTAAAATTATGACATTTTTAGATCTATACCAAATCCAAAGAAGGGT